CCGAAGGCTCTTGTGGAGCTCTTGCCTTAGTTCATATACATTTTGAGAACACTTTACACTGTTAAGGGAGCCAATAACCATATTTCAGCTTTTTACAGCTGTTTCTTCTGTAGAGTGCTTAAAAACAATTTGCAAGCATTATGTGATCAAGGAAAATTATATTTTTATCAACTCTCCTTATATTCCAAAATCAGCTAAACCATTTTTTCCTCAAAGTTGAAATTTTTAAAAAGTCACTTTTAGGTACAGGCCAAAACTGAAAAATTTCAGCCTCAAAAGTAGATGTTTTATAAAGATAACAATGACTGAAAACAAGGGGCTAGAATAGAAAACATTATGAAACCTTAAATATAATGGTCACTGTTGCTTCTGCTATCATACTCACTAAACATAATCTAATAAGGAACAAACAAATGATTTCTTATAAAGCATTGCTAAACATTAGCATTTTTCAAATAAAAATCCTTTTTCATTTTATTAAGAAACTAATGACTTACTGTTGACATTTCTAATTATGTTTTTTTCTCTTTACATCAGGAAAATAATGGAGAATAGAAACTGTTTTGGTATCATAAATGTTCAAACTACACTTTTATGAATCTAAAAAAAATTCTCTTTGAAACCATTTAATGAAAAAGAGAAGGCAAAGCATGAGGAGAATTATTTGGCAAAGCCTTATCATTCTCAGTTTCATTATGTTCACATTTCAATGAAATCCCACAGAAGAACCAAAGGGGCTGATTCTGACTTCCCTTATATCAGTTCTGCACTGATGTAACTCTACTTAGTTCAATGAATTACTGCAAGTTACACGGCTATATGTAAGCTTATAATTAGGGCCAAAGTGTGCCTCTCTTTTTTTTTTTCACTTGCATCCCACCCTTCACATTAGGCAAAATAAAGAGCATTCATAATGTAGCTCAGTCAAAAGTGAACACAAGTACTTATAAAGGAGAGAGTGTGTCTGCCAGTAAAACGTGGGCCTTTTAGTATGGGCTTAACACAAATGTATAGTGATACACAAAAGTGTGCACTAAAACTTGAAAAATAAAGGTGAAATCCTGACTCTGTTGAAGTTGATGGGAGTTTTGGCACTGATTTCAATGATGCTAAGATTCATCCTGAGTATTTGGAAATGTGGATGGTGTTAAAATTTGCCAACCCACAGAAAGAAATGTAAAATTACTTAAATACACCAAGTATGGATCCTTGCTAGTTGCTATCATTATCTAAGACTTTCCATGCAGTAGAGTGATCACTGTTAATTAAAAAAGTGTTAGATTGTGAACTTAAATCAGATCATTTGTGCATAGCTGCCAATAGTAGATTGATGTACGTGTTTGAGGGTCTTAGCTGCAGCTTCCATTCAAAATAGTAGGCAACTAAGGATGTTCTTCTGTTACAAAAGGTGCATTCGAAGAGGACCTGGGCTAAAATATTTCTAAAAGAAGGGTTGTATAGTCTCTCAAAAGTGGGATGTTTCACCCGTAATCCACAGTTACTTGTATAGTGCTATTGATAACAAGTGTAGCTGTGCCAAATGTGCAAGATATTTCACCTGTTTGGTGGACTAAACATTGCAGAACAGTTTACTGAAAAGCATAGTCTCTAGTAGAAATGGGGGGAAAATAAGAGGGGAGAGAAATTAACTGTCTTTCTTTCATTTTTGTATCAATATTTTGATTTTTTTTAAAATTTCATCTGATTTCATCTGATTTAAATTTCAGCTGATTTAAAAAAGAGGGGAGGGGACATTGTTGTCTTGACAATGCATCTAATTTTTTTTTGCCATATTTGGCCAAACTTTAGAAACTCTGTGGGAGTTTCTACCCATTTGTGATTTTGCACATCTCCAACCACCTCTCCCAAGATTCTGCTGCTCCTTTTCTGTGGCTCTCCTTAGCTTCAACTTCTGCTTTTTCCACAGCTGCTCTGCTGCCTCACTGTCTTCCTGCTGCTGGGTAAGATGGTGGAATGGGGGCAGCTGGGAGTCTCTCACCCCTCTCAGCAAGTGTGGGGACTGGGGACAGGGGGGAGTTTCTTCACACATTCCACCCCCATCCAAGCCCTGGTATGGGAGCAGTTCTGGGAATGGAAGAGGAGGGCAAAAGGACAGCCAGTTACAGGGTTTGCCATGTATAACCATAGGAAAACTGAAAGGCTATGGGAAAAACCTGTAAATTGGCAATCCTGGAAAAGGCCTGAAGAGATACACATGAAGGACCAGGGAGAAGGAGACTTGAAGAGGCAGGAACCCTGTGTAAATGCCTGAAGAGGTTCAATGGAGTAGGAGGTTGCTTGTGAGGTGTGCACTAAGGAGTGAAGACTTAGACTTGTGGTGAAAACAGGAAAAGGATTGGTTGACCTGGGATGAGAGAAGTGGTTTGGACTCAAGACTTGATGTGTGCACCTGTTCTTCTGTAGGGGTTCCAGGTGGGGCTTTTTTAGAGTGTGGCGGGAAGACCCAGTTGTCACTCCCTTACATCGAAGGGGAAAGTTGCATTGATGCTGGGTAGAGCATTCTGATCATGTTTTGTCATGTTTGGATTTTGGAAGGAGAGGACTATGGTTGGTTTGGTTGGAGGATCAGACCAAATTAACTACCAAACTGAAGAGGGGAAACTGAGGTGCACACAGGGGAAAACTGACATAGTGGCTATTCCAATGCCTGACGAGGTAAGCTGCTGCTCCAGTGACACTCTGGAGAATGTAGGGCATATTTTTTGGAGGATGACCTAAAACTGGTGAATCATAGGTTAATCAATGAAGGCCATGCTGCCCTCAATATGTTCATGCAACACGCAGTTATGTCATTTGGGAGGTCACCATTCGGCTTGAGGGGATCGTATGGTTCGAGGCTCCTGTCAACTCACCCATGCTGTGAATCTGAGGGCAGAATTTGGTCTTTTATGTGCAAAGAGCTCAGGATTAGGCCCCAAATATATAATTTAAAGACATATCTCTTTAAAAAAATTGACAATATGTTTGTCAATCCAACATGCACAAAAATCTTTTTATGGGCCATCAAAATAGAGCCTCTTCAGAAAGTGAAATGCTTCAACAGAAGTAAAAGTATTGAGGCCAAGTGTACAAATTAATTTAGAATTAAAAATAAATGTACTTAATAAGAAAATGCAATTATTTGATCTGAAAGAAAAGAACAAACATGGTAGATTAACGTCCTCTGAATAGTAAATCTATAAACATTTGTTGCAATAAAACAAGAAAACTGATTAAAGATTAAAATTTATTAACATTAGAAATGTTCATTATATTCAACTATTCTTTAAAAATTTCTCCTAATGTAGAGCAATCTGGGAGATGTTATTGACAAGTTAGTATGTTGTTTTTCTTTTTTAGCTTTGTTTAGAATGAGCAGAGTTGAAATAACTCAGGCAGCTAAAATACCTTTTACAGATTTATTTTCTGAAACAAAAAGAAATGGTGTTCAATACAAAAATGCTGTTCAAGTAAGATGGGTCACAAAAAGTGACCATCTGTCATACATTATTTTAGTGTAACCTCTGCCTCATAAAATAGGGCCTTCCCTGCTCTCTTGTGGCAATGTGAAGCTATTTCAATTCTATTTACACCCTCTAGGCATCAGCATGATTTGGAAATCTAATAAAGTAACTCATCAAAGAACAAGCCATGTGCCCAGAATTTGTATTACTATACTACAGGGAACCCAAGTGGTATTATCCTTTAACCATATGTCTTCTAAAGCTCCATTTATTGCCATAAAAATCAATGTTGTTGTGGTGGAAAGTGCCAAATAAGGCTAAATAAAAAATGTTACACAGAATACTAATAGTGTGCTGAAATTCTTCTCCCAAATGAACAGAAATGCACAGTTCACCAGAAAAATATCACAGTATATTTTTAATCTTCTTAAACGGATATCAGAGTATGCACAATTCCAGTCAACTTGTGTACATTCTAAATCCACAGTCATCACATTAAAGACAGCAGAAAACATAACAACTGAAGGCCACACTTTTTCATATTTAGATTAGTTCTAGGAAAGAGACTGGAACCATGCCAACTTGCAGCATTTCGTCTTGAGCATTCCCTCACAGGAAGAAGGAGTTTGGTTGGTGGTGAATTTTGCTGCCTTCCCCTGACAAGAGTTCCACTGACAGGGGGAAGGGGGTGGGTGTCAGCCCTCCATATCCACTTAGCTGCTGAGATCTGTGGGAGCCCTGTGTCTACATAAAAATTCTAGGCCTACCGGCTCACCTAGTGAAAAGGAAACTCAGACATTAGTGTTCACAAAGGCCCAGATCCTCAAAGGTATTTAGCGGCAAAGAGTCCTGTGGCACAAAGGTATTTAGGTGTCTCTCTGCCTCTTTATGTGGCAAAGTCCACCATTTATGTGCCACGGACGTTTTCAAAGCCACCATTTAGCTGCTGCCTAATCCTATAGCATCTAAGTCCCTTAGGTGCCCAAGTTTCCACCAGTTGGCATTTGCAAAGCTGCCCCACAGCTAACAAGCTGCACTGAGCCCTAGCTCAAGCCAAAGCCCTAGAGGCTCCAAAGCAGGATTTTCATACTAGGCCGGAGACTATCTATTTCACCACCCTGGCCTGTAGACATGTTCTGAGGCATGCCTAAGACTTGATACTTATCATACCCTGCATCAGGAAGGCTAGATGCAGGCTACTGATAGGTAGGGGGCAGCAGAGTATCCTCACAAAAGACAGCCAGGGGCCACAGAAGAACATAGTGCAAACATGCGAGAGGTATTGAATGTTAGCAGGAAACAGAAAGTAGGTGAAAGAGAAAGAGAGAGGCTTTCAGCTCCAGGGCACAAGCTGTGGGCTGACCTGGCTTTAGCACCTAACTCCAGGAGCAGGGTCATGGCTGAGGATCCCAACTGGAGGGAGGTGGCTTTCTGTGGCACCATGTCAGTCATGGGCACCTAAGTCCCTCTCCTCTCTTTACCCCTCTCCTGGGCATTTCATTCCTTGGGAAGGTTAGGCGGCTCACTGCTCAGTTGGCTGGCTTCAGACAATCTCTTCCTGAGGCTCCTAACATGCATTGTATGAGGCGCCTCGGTGCCTGGCTTCAGGGTGAAAATTCCACTGGGTGGCAGGCCACTTAGGGTTTGGGCATTGCAGTGTTGAGTGGAGGAACCCCTAAGGATCTGGGCCATAGTGTCCCTGAGTGCCAATGCCAATACCTCCCTCCACTGCTGCCTCTGGGTGCAGGGGAGGGCCATGCCATGGTGAGGAAATCAGCCTAAGTGAGGCTTAAAGGTTCAGAATTAATTTACACTAGAATTCCCTGGGGGGGTGGAGCCCCAGCCAACCACCCACAGAGCTTGGCCCCTTCAGACCATCCATGGAGGGACTTCTGTGAACAAAAGGATGGAGAAGCTTGCCACACAGCCTCAAGTCTTCCCTTCCTGGCCCCTGCCCAGATCTGCTTGCCTCTGCTTGTAGAAGTAGAGTTGAAGATGTTGGTTTTAATCTATAAAGTCTTAAAAGTCTTGAGATTTGCCTACTTGAGAGACGTGTCTCTTCCTGTGTGTGTTTGCCACAGCTGTAAATGGTGGAGGTGTTTGGCTGGAGCCTTGTTGGTTTATAGGGGAGAGTGGGGGCTGGCAGGGCATTCTTTATGAGGGCTACTTTTTCTTTGGAATTCATTCTGCCTTCCCTTGTCAGCAATGGTCCAAATCTGTTTTCCTTCAGGTTATGGTACAAAACCTTTTCTCAGGCCTGTTGGGGATAGGGGAGGGGAAAGAGAAGAGAGAGAGCTGGTGTATTTGATGCTAATGAGGTATCTCTTGTTTTTTAATTTTCCAGTAGGTTAGTTTCTCTGAGCAATGGGGTGAAGATAGGCCACTGAATTTATTGTGGATTGTTAGGTTTTGTCTGTTTTGTTTGATATGAAAGTTATGGCAATGTGCCTAGAGTCTGAAATAGGCTCTTTTAAATTAATTAACTATTAGAGTTGTTTATTTGTACTGAGTTAACACCCAAAGGCCCCAATCTGGATCAGGATCTCATTGCACAGGAAGTTCAGCTACTACAGTGATTGTTTGTATTTAGACAGACAGAGCCCCTGTCCCCAAAAAGCTTGCAAACTAATTTGAAACCAGATGCAACAAGACTGTGTTAAAAAAGTAGGAGGGATAGAGGGAATGGATATAAACGGTACTAAATAAGTAAATAAAATACAATTTGCCCTTTAATCCAGAACAATTCAAAGGCTGCTTTCAGAAATATTGTTCCATTCTCATTACACATTCGATCCTAATGCAAAAGTATTTTCTCTTTAGATATGCCATTATTATACGTGGGCTCTTTGTATACGTAAGTGTATAAAATAGCTCTAATTCCAAAGAAGAATTTCTGACAATCTCTTTGGTCCTCTTTGTATTGTACACAAACATTTATGAAACACCATAGTCTCAATGTTCTTCATAAATATTAATGACGAATGTGTGGTGTATATAGAGCGAATTTAATAATGCAAAATGCTAGCATTCACTAGCATTTATTGAAGTTCTGAAAGATTGTCAGGTTCAACTATGATAGGCAGTTTGATCAGTAGTTAGAAGACTGGGAGTCTGGACTCATAGGTTCTTTTCTTCACTGTTGGGAGTTCTATGATCATGGATAAGTCCGTTAGGGTAACACTTTTTCAAAAGTGCCTAAGTACCAATTTCAAATAAATTTGGACACTTAGGGCTAGAATCACAAAAGGACTTGGACAGACAACTGCCACTTAAGTCATGTAAATCCAAACTTAAGTGACACTGGTATTCACAAAACTCCTGCTCAGCTGCCATCTAACTCTGGAGGTGTCTAAATTCCCTAGGCGTTTCCACTGTTAAAGTCAATGAGGTGTCTAGATTTCAGCAGCTGAACATGGGCACAGCAATCTAACTTCTAGCACCGTCCAGCAATTCAGCACCTAACACACAATGCCATTCACAAATTGAGTATTCCCCATTTTCCTTGCTGTTGGGGCTCAATCTGGTAGGCATGCTCAGAATATGGGGGGAGACAGGGAGGGGGACGTGGCAGCAGTGGCTCCTTTAATAATCTTTGCCTGGCGGATAGAGCATTCACCTGGGATGTGGAAGACCTGTGTTCAGTTTTCCCTTCTGCCTGATGTGAAGAAGGGATTTGAATTTGTCTCTCCCATCTCTCAGGTGAGTGCCTAACCACTCTCCCTACCTCAATTACTATTTAACTATTTATACAGAGTGGAATAGCTTCCACATGAGAAATGGAGAGAAACCCTCACTGAAATATCCCATCATTCAGTGGTTAGGGCACTGTCCTGAGAGATGGGAGACCCAATTTCAAATTGCTGCTCCACATCAGGGAGAGGAGGAATTGAACCAAAGTTTCCCACCTCCTGGGTGAGTGCCCCAACAACTGGGATAAAGGTTTTTGGTGAAAAGGGAGAAGGGTGTTCTGCTGCTGTGGTGGCATTTCTTGCAAAAAACAGCTTAGGCTGTTTGTGAGAGAGTTCACAGCAGAGATAAGTGCCTCCCTCTGGCCCAGCCCTAGGCTCTCAGTGCCTGAAAGGGGCAGGGCTTAGGACATACCCCTTTGTCAGCATTTACTAGTGGCTAGCTTAGGTGGGTCACTGCTCAGCACACTGGTTTTTATGAATCCTATTTTTAGGTTTCTGACTCTCCCCATGTGTTGTATAGGAATCCTTGGAGCCAAACTTGGGTTTTTGAATTCCACTAGGAAAAAGCTGTGTGTAAGTCCCCTTTTGTGAATCTGGCCCTTATACAGTGTATGTTTTTCCCTTTATCTGTAGAGCCAGATGCCGAGGGCCTGAGCCAAAGCCCACTGACATCAATGATAGTCTTTTGAATGACTTCAGTGGGCTTGAATCAGGTCCTTAGTTACTAAGTGTTCAAGGCTCCGAGGAAAATATTTAAAAGCTATCATTGCAAAACACATCCCAACATAACCTAAAATAGCTTCTCTCTACATAAAATGTCACAACTTTGAAGTTGGCACTTACCCAGGACTGAATCTTGCCTGTCCTGCGCCTTTGGCAGGCACCATATTTTGGAGAGAATTCTACATTTTGGAAGCAAACTTTTCTGGGAGATAGAGTTTTTAAAAAAGCAGCTGTTTGGAATGTTGCAATAAGTCCTAGGGAGATGGATTATTGCACAGAGAGCAGGTGATGTGGTCAAAGGTGAGTAATAAATTTGTCACATGCATATACAATTTATAACAAGCCCATGTAGCTTATTCCAACAATATCACACCTGTGTGGGTATAAAATTTAAGGTGACTTTTACCAGCCAGCAACAATCAAATGACTGGCGATGAAGGAATATTCCAGTTCAGTCTAGATTAATTTAAATGTGCAGTAGTGTCTTCCAGAGGTGAATCCTGCAGAGTGCTTCAGAATTTATGCAAAGGCTCAGTGAAGCAGACAAGTGATCTCTCAGTTGGGTGTGGAAGCTTGATCCATGGCCTTCCAGTTGGATCTCTTCTGTGAGTGAGAGAACCCTTTTATACTTGGTCAGCCAGCTCCGTCAACCCACTGTGAACTTGATGGAGCTTCTGAAAAGCTGCATGTTCTACAAAACATGTGCAAATTGTAACATAATCTCAAAATGGTCTCTGGTGTTCCATCATAATAGTTGTGTGTCCGTATATGGGGAGACAAGGCAGTTTCTGTGCAGGTTGTTTACAAACTCCCTAAATCTGTTTCAGCAGCCTTTAAAATGTATGATCCACACAAGATGAGATGTAGAAAAAGAAGAGTAGAGTAGAGTAGAAATTAGAAGCTGCAGACAGGGTTGGATAATTTCTTTAACACGAATAAAGTTTTTCTCATCTCAGTTAAATTATTCAACATTTCTGATGTAAATAATTTACAGAAATAGATGGAGATTAGAACCAGCTAAATGGAAGACAGAGGTAAATTTTGGTCTGAAATGAGCAATGTGCTGTAAATTTGTAATCCAAAGAATATGAGAACTATATCCCTCAAAATAGATAATAAATGTTTGCTGGGTTTTTTTTTTGTCTGGTGGCCTGTTTTCCCCCACTTAATTATGTCTTATTGCTTTAAAAAGATATCTTAATTCCAGTACGTGGACAATCAGCTATATTCTATAATTGTATGAACTAATATATGGAAGAAGAAAAGCTTAATGAAGTATATTGTTTTGGGGGAATCAAGCCAGTTGTAAATTTAGCCCTGCAGCTTATTCCCCAAGGGCATTGGCACGTGCCACTCTATATAGTGAAAGGAACATGACCCACCAAATGCATGCATGATCTCCATAATGGCAAAGAAAAAAGATTAAGGTCTAGTGAGGTCTAACAGAGGGCAGGGACCAGAATTTTGAACAGATGGTATACAGGGGCCCACTGGCCTCTTGAAAGCCAGGGGAGTGGAGAGAATAGGCAGATAGTAATTAGCAAGAGGCGATAAAAAGACGCATCCAGGATCTCCCCAAACATCTGCTTCAAAGAATAAAGAGAATGTTCTGACCGTGAACCTTAATTAGTTTAAAAGATACTGTTTAATTTTTGAAAAATATATACGTATGTATATAAAGCTGAGCTGTGGTGAGCACTGTGGTTTGGAGCATTACAGCAGTTTGTGTAATTACTGATTTGTTATTTTTGTTTTAGAAGGGTTGTATATAGCATTAAACCTGTAAATGCGAAAGTTATAATCAAAAAGCCAACTGTCACTTTTTGGAATCAATAAGCTCTTAACAAAAACTTGAATCTTTGATAACTCATAGATTGATATTATTTGCAGTGACCTTTTAAATGGCTATGTTCCCTGCTTGTCATGTATCTATATGGCTATGTTTGTCCTTTTCCTGTTTATTTCTATAGAAATAGCTCAAAGCCTAAGTCTGTGTATCTGGTTGAAGCTTTCTGAGCTGCACAAACTATTGCAAATTATCACAAAGAAACCTGATTTCTTTTGTCATGATTTACTTGTGACCAAAACCAAACAAACACTTGCTGCTGGCCTATGCCTGCTGACATGAACTCCTGGGGTTCGGGCTAAGGGGCTGTTTAATTGTGATGTAGACATTCCAGATTGGGCTGCAGCCTGAGCTCTGGGACCCTCCCACCTTGTAGGTTCCTTGGGCCCAGACTCCAGCTCAAGCCCAAATGTCTATATCACAATTAAACTGCCCCTTAGCCCAAGCCCTGTGAGTGAGCCCGAGTCAGCTAGCATGGGCCATTGGTGGGTTTTTAATTGTAGTGTAGCCATACCCTTACTGCTGGACATCAAACCAAAGAAAACTGCTGAATCTCAATGAGGATTTAATCCATTGTTGAAGTGTTTGAGCCTAACAATAGTCCCATACCATAGTCACAAAGAAAGCACCAGACAGGGAATTTGACTGAAAAATGTTTTGTATGTGCTTAATACTCTATTTTAAAACAATCATTATAATTTAACAATAATCTTTTCCTTACCTCCGCCCTAAAATTAATTATGTAATAAAATACTGTCAACAACAGCATGAAAAAGGTATTGAGTAGTTTTCTGGAGGAGTCTGTGTTGGCCCCAGTTTTGTGTAATATTTTCATTAGTAATCTGGAAGATTTGGTAAACAACATTTTGAGAAAATTCACAGGAGATGCTAAACTGGAAGGTATTGTGAAGAACAGTGATAACAGAAATAATCCAAAGAGACCTAGTGAGATCAGAAATATGGGAAGAAAATAAGACAGTCCTGGCCCTGAGGAGTTTA